AAAAAAATATGTGTATTCACTGATAATAGTATTATTTCTGATATCGAATCAGCACAAAATTTATGTTGCTAAGTGAGGCATTGGTTAAGTGAGTTTTGCCCTAGTTTGCGACCTTTCTTGCTATAGTAAAGTGAATCACTGCAGTTGTTAAGTTAATAACAAGGTTGTTAAATGAAACTGGCTTCCCCATTGACTTTACTTGCCAGAATGTAGCAAAAGGTGATCACTTGACCCCTGCAACTGTCATAAATATAAAGCAGTTGCCAAGCATCCAAATTTTGAACATGTGACCATTGGTATGCTGCAATGGTTGTTAAGTGTGAAAAATGGTCATTTTTCAGTGTCGTTGTAACTTTTAATGGTAAATTGAGGACTATCTGTATTATTCCAGAATGTATATAGAAGGCAGTCTATCAAGGCTGCTTTAATTTGTATTTCAGCACAGAATTGGATGGCCCTAAATGTTATTTCTAGGCAGGGTGTCAAATTGATGGACTGTGGGCTGGATGTGTCATGCACAGGCCACGCCCACCCCAGCTTGTGACAGCTATGTGACGCCGTGAGTTTGACACCCATGTTCTAAGGGATAAAACTTGCCTTGTGATGTCATGATGCAAACTCCACAACTTAATGCTGAGGTGCAAATATAAGGGGAGATTTGCATTGTGATGTCATGACACAGTTTTCTTCACTTTTTCATCTTCACAGTTTATATCAGAAGCCAAGGCTTCCAACTCCAGGATTTTATTATTCTGTGACACAATGAAAGTGGATTCACATAATGATTTGTACAAAGTAGCCCGGGAATCCATATGTATCTTCTCAAGTCCTTAAGTGCATACCCAGAAGCCTTTAAAAAAATATAAATTATAATTTTCAATGTAGAAGAAATAAATTGTTACAGAGATGATATCCATATTCAATATTTTAACCTAAATTAAACTGTAAATTTAAACTAAATTAATTTTTCTTGTTTTGCTTCTTCTCTTTGTCCTGTCTTTAATTATTTGTTGAATGTAATCTCTGCCTAAAGTCTGCCTAAACCTAAATTTTATAACCCTTTAAGAGCTATTCTTTGCTCTGGAATAATGAAAATTGTGCTGCTTTTGCTATTTTGCAGATTATAACAATGTTTTACCCATGATTATAAGCATTTATCTGATCCACCAAACCTTATTTGTTTGTATAGCAGGCAAAAACGGTTCAAATGATCATATGAATCAGATTCTAAAGCTATTTGTCTAAGTGCTAATATTTCTTACTGTTTTCAGGCAGTGGTGTGCCTTGGCTGTAATGCTGGATTCTTGGGTGGGGTGTGTGTAGGGGAAATCTTTGGGTTTGTTGGAATTGAATCCAAAATATCCGAGTTGGGAAGGCTAATATAGGGGGGAAAAGTGAATTTATTTTAATATATTGGCTTCTACGGAAAACAAGAAGCAGGAATTCTAAAAGTGTTTTTTATAGCACAATTGTTAATGTGCATATGGATCAATAATGGATCATTTCAGCTTGCATTTTTAACTTGTATTACTTCATAGCAAATAATATGACCATGTATGTATGCTTAAATTATAACGACTCAAATTTGTAAGAGTGTATTTCTTGATATTGCATTTCAGGGAGATAATTTAGTCACTGAATGCCACTACAGCACCCTCAATCGATCGGATATGACCTGGGTAAGAAATTTTATGACCTGACTATGTGGAATGAAAATAGCATAAAATTAACATGTTTAAAGTAAATGTTGTATATTGTTAACATGTAAGCATTATTATTAAGAAATAAGATTTATTTTTATGTAAACTTAGAACTATTTCATTTCATTCAGTTTCTTCCGGTAGGTCAATAATAGCATGGCAGATCCCTCCCCTACTGGAGACTTTAGGAGTAGCTCATTCAAATAACTGAGAAAGATGCCTATGAGGCCAAGTTAATTAAAGCCACATTTTGAGAAACAAAATCAAATAAATGAGCCACTAAACCAGTGCTTCTCAATCTTTACAACTTTAAGATGTGTGTATTTCAACTCCCAGAATTCCCTAGCCAGCATGCATTAGAAACATAGCATTATGCTCAGATTGGCTTGCAATTTACTGAAAGTTAGTTAATATTCCTTTAAATAAGCTACTTTAAGTGATATGAACATTGCAATTTTTATTTTTTTATCATTATTCACCATGCTCAAAATTTGAGTTTGCTTTCACATTAAGGGCTCTAAATTTTAAGGCAGAGATTCCATGCCATTCCAAGTCCTACCCAATCTTGGTTTAAAAGGAATGTTAAAGCCAAAATTTTATTTCCCTTCAAATAATGCATATATAAACTTTAAGAAAGCAAACAAGATTTCTGCATAGATAATACCTGTTTGTTTCTCTGTAAGATGCTATCCCATCTCTCATAAACATTTGAATTGCTTTTACTTTAAAACATGTCATCAGCTGAATCTGAGAATTACAACTGTACAAGCTAAGCAAAACTTATTTCAAATGGTGGTAAATGTATTGCACTATATAGGTTTTTTTTCATGCAGGCAGAAACCGAATCTGTTTCTGCCATTTGTTCATAGTGGTGATGCATTCTCTGTTAAATGCAGAAAACAGCAAGAGGCAGCATTGGGTAGTTTTAGGCCTGAGTTCAGAAGCAATCGCTGAAGCCTGTATTGTTGATTTGTTTTTCTGTTCCCAGGGTGGTTTTAGCACCAGAAATGAAATGTGCCTATCCTATCTCGTGTATTATCCAAAAATAAACCTTACTCGGTGTGAAAGTATTCCTGACTTAATGGAGCAACTCCAGTTCATTGGTGTTAAACAAATTTACAGACCAGTGAGGTATGTAAGCATACTACAGAACTAATACTTGCATTCACTGTCATTTGAATAAATGCTGAAAATTGTTCTTGATATTACTTTCTAGGGAAGGATTATCCCTCCTTATGTATCTCATTTATGAAAAGATAATGGTCTATCTTTAGGAAAACCAATTGGTGGCTTTTCATAATCAAATTGGTGGTGGGAACATGGAGGCCTTTCCCTGGTCATGGCCCTTGACCACACTTTGTGCATCTGTGCCATAAACCAGGGGTGAAGAAGACAAGGAGTAGGAACTGGGCATCTCATTAATCAAGTAGCTTCCTGAAGGGTTAGGAACAGACTTCATTCTGATTCTGATGAATGGGCTATAAAAAGACCTTCACTTTGGAACAGGCTCAGAATGGAAACAATATGCATGACAGGCTGACATGTTTATTGAATGGTTCTGGTCTATTCTGAATCAAGCCAGAGGAAGTATATTCATCAGGATTTATCTGTATAATAAATGTTGGCTGAACTACATGATGAAAGTTTCTAGTAGCTGCAGCAGCAAGAAGCTCAGCAGTGCTTCTTTAACTATTTAAAGTTTTGATATTTTTATGTCTCAGAATAAAATATACAGTTGACTCTTACAGCTGTTTTTATATTACTGTTCCCAAGAGCCTTGTACTACAGACTGATCTGCACAGAGTCTTTCAGAGAGCTACATCCTCAGAGAATAATACTTGCAGACTTTTTCTATCTTTTTATAATCTCTCCTGACAGCTAAGGGGAAAAAAACACATGTTCTGATTTAGAGCCTACAATTAATCTTTCTAATCTCTGCAAGTAGACAGAGTAATAAGTGAATCGCTCTCCAAAAGGAACATTTATACCATTGTTAACAAAAATGCACATTTGACCCAAGAAAAGACAAATGGTTTAGGGAGTTCAAAAAAAGGAAATATAGCTTTTAAGATAAATATAAAAAATTAGTAATGGTTCAAGCTTGCACTCCTACAAAGTTCATGAGTTGCAGTTTAAAGTAAAGCTTAATGCTTTAATTTTATTTTGTGACATGTCTGTATATCTATTTTATTAAGTAATGTACTTAACAAAAACACAATGTGCAACCTGTCTGCAGTTACTTGAGGTCTACATAAATGTACTTTTTTTTTAAAGAATGTGTTAACTTGAGAAGTTCTATCCAGATTGAATTTTTTCCAAATGTTTGTTTTGATGTGCATTGTTCTTAAAAATTCAAGTTTTCATCCCTGTTTTTGCTGTTGGGTACCTGTTTCCTGTTTAGCTTTTTTGCTCTTTTCTTTCCTCTCTCAGTCTTCCTGCAATATCATAGGACAAGATAGCATACTCTATGATATTAGACTTCTGAGCAGATATGTATAGGACTATTTTTGGTACAGGATTTGCATAACTCCTTCTGCTAATAGATTGCTTTGGGAAGGAGAGGAAATAGTAGATTAATTATGTTTCATCTTGAAAAATATTTATTTATTTAGATAAATGAAAATGAATGTTATTCATAATCTGAACAAATCTGAGGCTATGCCCAATATGCATGTTACAGCTTGTGTATACTTTTTCTATCTTGATTCTCCCGTGTATTTAGCAAATCTATTTCTAAGGGATTCATTCGCCAAAACACTAGAAAAGATGTTAGGGACAGAAACATAAAAGGGGAAAGTTTGCAGTCACATGTTGAACAGACCCAATAAGTATGAACAGCTCAGTAAAAAGTATTGAAAAGTTGAAAATACTTGAAAAGTATTTTTCTTTTTATATGCAGAACCTGGCCATTCATTATCAAGAGTCCAAAACAATACAAAAATCTGTCTTTCGTTGATGCAATGAACAAATTCAAATGGTCCAGAGAACAAGGTCACTCCTATAATGACTATGTTCTTAAGTTACCATTAAATGTAAGGTGTACCAAGACAGAAAATGCAGAGTGGACTGTAAGTTGATTTCTCTGTTTTCCTTTGTGATTGTGAGATCGATTGCATGGATTGTAGGACATGTGTATTCCAAAATAGCCCTGTTAAAAAGATGAATTAACTGTTTTATTTAGCAGCAGAAATCATTCCAAATAAAGGCTTTACCATAGTAACCATTGTGCATATTTGAAAGATAGAATAATGTAGACGAAACTGTAATCTTGACTGAAAACTCATTTGAGGCAAATGTTAAGTAGATCATATGATTTAACAAGGTATGTGGACCTAAAAAATTAATGTATCAAAGATCAAGATAATTCTGTTTGATAGGCAAAATTGAGTAAATGATTTTATGTTATGTTTAAATAATGGAACGATAGAGCACATAGATGAATGCTGTATTTTGGTAGAATGTTTACCACAGATGATGAAACAGATAGAGAAAATTTAAGATATGCAAATACTGGTAAAAATGTAATGGGTAATATGTGGCTTATAATCTTCAGGATGAATGTCTGTTAACAGAAGCAAAATATATGTGGATGACAGGGCAATTCTGCTTATTTTGTTATATAGAAATGAAAGCAGGGAGAGTGGCATCTTCAAGCTTTTGTCTCTTTAAGCACCACCACTGAAGGAAAGTGCAGCACTGCCTGAGGCAATTACTGTTAGGATTATTATTATTATTTTTGTTCTTGATGGCCCACTGAAATCGATTTTCTTGTAATTTACACTTTCTTGTCCAATCTTCTGGACAGTTTCTACTCTTTTGGTCTTCTGCAAACCAGTCCTTCAGATAGTTGAAGACAGGTGTCATCTCTCTACAAAGCCTACTTTTCTCCGGTTTAAATGTACTTAATACCTTCAATTGTTCTTTTCAAGTAAAGGAGTGGGGCTTCAGTGGCCTCCTATGCGTGCCTTCTAGCAGATTTTACCTTTCCTGTAAGAGCAGAAGGTGTCTGCTCTTACACCTTCTAATTTGATAACATTAATCATATTGAAAAAGTCAAACAATTATTAAACATTGCTATCTATTCTTTTGTTTTTATATCATTTGTTGATATTTATAAGGAAATGCCTACCTGAAAAATGTAGCATAAATGTATTTGAACAGAGGGAAGCTAAATTCAAACTAGCCATGTGTCTAAACAAGTAAATAATTCATTTCATTTATATTTCAGATTCATGGAATGATGGCTTTACCACCTGAAATTGAAAGACCTTATACTGCAGAACCAATTATATGTAGCTCATCTTCCCGATTAAATGCCAATTTATTTTTAACTGTGTTGATTGTAGTGCATATCTCAGCCATTGCTTCAAGGAATCACGAACCTTTTGTACAATTGTAGATTATATTCATGTATGATATCTGTGCCATGCAAGTCCTCAAATGTTTGCACTGTCACTCTTGTAGATTTATTTTTTTTACATAGTAATAAACATTTTTTTAAAAAATCCTGTGTTCATCTCAAAAATATTGTCTTTTATGTATATAAGGTCCACTGGTTTGCAATCTCGAGCTAAACTAGTTGCTATATAGTTTCATTTGTTTCATTCTGACATATCACTTTATGATTCTAAAAGCTGCTCTGTATTTAGATACAGTATCAAAGAAATAAACTAAACTTTATCTATATAAACTTATTAAGCATGAAGTCTGTTGTTATTTTGCCTCTGCTTTTGAGACCTGCAAGTTACAAAATGACATAAGGTTGTATTTTTTCAGTCCCAACTGAGCATGTAAATTATTCCTAGTCTTTTCAATAGAAGTCGCAAATAGTTCTGGAAATTTATCTTTACAACATTCCTGTGCTCTAGATATGTGAAACACACACATTTGGAAGGCCTTTGTTCATTGTTCTATTTTGTCTGAACTGGAGCCCCTATGTCTCTCTGAAATCTCCTTTCCTTAGATTAAATATCTACTTGTGATGTAATATGACCTCATAATTGTTGATATTTGGGAAAAGGTATCAGATGCTGTATAGGTGAAGTGATTAAGCTTAATATTTTAAATCTACTAGTGATGCATTTTACGGCTTTTGAAGCTAGAACTATTGTAAATGATGAACTACAATACAATATAAATACAACTAATTGTGGTTTCACTCCAAAGAAGTTAAATCAGGGAGAACATGTTTCTCCCTGATTTATCAAAGGAATATTTTTAATTCCTTTGTTGTTAATAATAGAGGAAGATAGTTGAACAGAAAGGCTGTACTAAAGTAGCAATTTATGGAAGGAAAAAAGAAATCATTAATAACATTCACAATGTCTACTTCCTGGCTCACACCAATTTAATATGTCGTCCCTAACTTTTCAACACAATAACAGAAATGGGTATCATCAACATATTCTATTTGGCTGCCCTGCTACTCATAATTTCAATGTTCATTTTAGAGCAAAGGTCAATTTATTTTTCATTTCATCTGAAATATACTTTAAAATATTAACAGTTCTACTGGGGATTCCTTCCTGCAAGAATTCCTGCTGGAGGACTATTGTCTCTATTCACAGACTATAGTAGTGCACAGATAACAATGTGGAATATGTCCACTGTGTTCTACACTGATCAAACCATACTTTTACTGTGTTCAGTTAGTAAGTACTGTGTTTAGGTATAAGTACCATACATTACTAAGAATTCTGGCTAAGTTGAATAGGTTCAGAGAAAGGCAAGAAGTAAAATCACTAGGATCACTATTGTAACAGCTATGAAAACCTAGAGCCATGGTGGTACAGAATGCAGTACTGTGGGCTACTTCTGCCGACTGCCTGCAGTTTGGCAGTTCGATTCTCACCAGATCAGCCTTCCAGATAGTCTTTGACTTATGACCAGTTGTGAACTACCTTTCATCTACCCTTACAATGGCCTCAGAAAGGGTGCTTTATGGCCTGTAAGGTACTTCTGGCCATCATAAAGCATCACTTTGCCGCTCCCCCTCACAGATTGCATCTGGATGCTTGTTTGCACTTTTGACCAATTGCCAAGTGTCCCAAAATCATGTGATTGTCATTTGCAATCTTCTCTGGTGGTTTCCCCAGAAAGTCAAGCTCTCATTTTGAGAGGCTGGCTAAAAGATCTGCTTGCCATATAGAGCTGAGATTCCCTCCCAATAGGCCATCTTTTTCCGAGAGCATCTCTATGTGGCTGTTCAGGTATTCCTTTGGATCTCCTATAGAGTGGTATAAAAATATTGGTTCCTATATTTGTTAAATGCATATGTATATGTAAATGTTTAATGTATATGGAGAGACAGAGACAGAGAGTGATTTCTTGTTAATTTCTCTCACACTGTTTCAGAGAACTTGACAAATTAGTTATAATTTTTAATGGTAGGGACTCCATACTGTAAAACAGGGGTGTCAAATTCACATTGCCATGGCAGCGTCATGTGACGTATCAGGACTTCCTCCCCCCCTTTGCTAAACTGGGTGTGGGCATGGCCAGCACATGACACATCCGGCCCGCAGGCTGGGATTTTTACAGCCCTGCTGTAAAACCTTAATGCCCCTTATAATAAAAAGGCAGGGAGGAGGGAGAGGATCAATTTCTCTATTTCTGATTTTCCACTGGATCTATTTATTTTCTCTTGGAATGAAAAGATTGAATGTGTGTTTCTGTGGCCACAAATAGAGACTTATTATTTGGAATTTTTAAAATCTTGGCAAGTATATTGTCCTAATTATACTCAGAGTTCTATTGTGTTTCCAACAATGGAAAGTATTTAGATATGTTGGGTGTTTTAAAGAAAGAAAGAAAATTTTGTTTCTGTTCCCATGGGAAACTTACTCTTTGGAAAAATCATTTTAAAATAGTGGAGAAAACATTTTTTTTTTTTTGCAAAGTTTAGTTAGAACGACATTATTACCCCAGCTCAACTCAACAACTGCTGAATAGCAATGAATTCTTATAATATATATTTGTTACGTGTTCATTTTATTCCCCTTTTAGGAAAGAAGTCTTCCATCGCACAAAATCGTACTAACACACTCGCACACAAAGACATCTGATTAGGTCAATTTTCTATCTTGGCATTTAACCTCGATGGATGACCAATCAGAACAAGGAGCCTTTTGTTTGAAATAGTGCATTTATATATGTTACAAAAAGTCTTGTCAGAGTTATTTTGGTAAAGCAGTGTGACATAATCTGTCTCCATGGCATGAGACCAGAACTTCCATTATTTTCTTGGAATGGAAGGAAAAATCTGATAATTGGCTGAGTGGATTTTTTTTTTTAAAGAGAGATAATCACATACTGTCTAACCTTTGTTAATGGGTTACTGGTACTGGTGGTATTAGAAACATGAGAACTATCAGTAATGTCTCCTAATGAATTTTTCCTGGAGAACAAACTTAAGAAATTGAAGAGGCCATGAGTAGTGTACACTCAACAATGTAATGCAATTTTTTAAAGAGTTTTGAAGAATACTGAACAATGATGGACTGCTGAAAGTCCATGTTATGTTATTGCTGGATCTATAGTACCGTAGTAACTAGTAATAAGGGAAGCGATTTATGATTGAGATTCAGTTTGATATTGGAATGTGACCACTCTACTTCCATGGAAAAGTTGATAGAAAAACAAAGAACCTCTGGAAGGTTCTCTCACACAGGTCATCTTCTCTCTGAATTATAGAGAGCAGGTGGCAAAATAAATGAACTATTTATTTAAATAAAATTATGCAAAAAGAAAAAATTTAAAAACTAAGACTCAATTTGCTATTTCTGCCTATTTAGAATTTTTTAAAAAAGGTTTACATAATTTTTAATATTTTTTAATTTTCTCTTGGCATTGAGTCTTGTTTCCTTCGAAAGACCACATTTTACATGTTTTTATTCATCCAGTTCTTCATACATGAAGCAAGATAAAAATATATTATTAAGCAAACATTCTTGTGAAGACCAGGGTTCTTCATTTCATTTTAAAATGCATCAGATTTTTTGCTTTTTTGTCCAATTTCTCTGGTCTTCAAAACTCTTGGATTTTTTTTAAAGAAGCTAGAACCTCACAAAAGGGTAGTAATTTGAATGCAGGTCTTAATAGATAATTATAGGGTCAGTATTTTCTATTTGTTCTGGATTATTTTACTAATAAGCAAAGTAGGTGCTTAATTGTAGTCAGTAATCAATGGCATATTGCTTTTGAAGGCAGGAGCCCTCCATTTTTAAACCATGGTTAACAATATTTTTACTTTTATAGGTTTACTAAATATATTGAGTTTCTCTCATTGAACCTTTCCAAGAAAATGGTTGAGTGAGTGAGGATCTATTAGTTGATACTTCATCATAATTCCAAGAATTTTTTAGCTTGCTTTTCTACATCTTGTCAATTGAAGTACCAGACTTTCTTATCATCTGTTACAGTTCTGTAATAAAAGACAATATTTCAATTAATATTGCTCAAAGATATGTAGCTATCGTTACTTCTTTCAGGGAAACGTAATTTTTTTTCAGTTTGTCAAAATCAGATGTCCAAGAAATCTACTACATCTTAAAGAGTATTACCACATGTGACAGGTATCAACTGTTCATTAATTATGAATCACATCATTAAAAATGTATCCAGTGTAACATACACAGTCAAGGGGAGAAATATCTGAAAAAACAATTTATGCCATGTAATATACATGATAGTGTGAATCAAAACAGCTATTCCTTGCAACTCAAGTTCATTTCTCTGCAAAGCTGTAAAGCCTGTTAAATAATACTGTGTTGTGTCACACTTCCGCCTTTGGATGCCACATGTAAAGACCTAGAGAAAGCTTTAATGCTGGGAAAGGTAAAAAGGAGGAGGAGGAGGAGAAGAGCAGGCAGATGTATGGACTCATTTACAGCACAAATGTTTTCACTGTTGAAAGACCAGGTTAGGGGCAGATCTTCATGGAGAAAATCTTATAATGTGGTTGCTACAAATGGATAAAGATGATGGCATATAATCAGTCAATCAATTATCCTCTCTGCTACAGTAGGAGTGGAGTCCAATATAAATTATTAATAAGAACAATTATCAAGAATTCAGAGCTTACAATGGAATACACACATAAAGAAAAACTGCAGATTCTTGTGCTGTCTTATCATTTAGTCTTATGATTAAGACTAGAAAGTTCTGCCTTAGTTATAAAATCTGGCTGGGTGACTTTGGGCTAGTCACTTTCTCTTAAAATCTCCCCCCACCCCCTCTCTCTCTCACACACAGATATAGATATGCATATAGACATAGATATGGATGGTACATATTGCTACCCATCTATATTTTATCAATACATAGTTGTATTTCTCGATTCATCTACTCAGGGAAAAAATATTGAAATACATCACTTGATGGCAATATGATGCCACGAGTTTGACACCCGTGATACACTATACTATACATTCACTTTCATGTTACACAAATTTCTAGCTTCAGAGATAGAACTCATTGGAAATAGGTTTATAAATGGACTGTTTTGTGAATGAATGCTGCCACCTTATGGTAAAAGACATAAATGGAAATGTGAATAATTGTTCAACC